AAATAATATATAAATAGCATAATAAACACTTGTGCCATCACAGAGCTTTACTGAAAGAGTATCTAAGCTGAACAAAAAAAAAAAGCAACAGATGAAGGAAAAGCATGTGCTTAATCCTTCTGGACATCTTGTATTCTGCAATAGGAGAGATCTGGGACCTCAGCCCCTACATTTTATTTTTTTCTCCATCACAGCTTAAGTAGTTTCTCCTCACTTGTCAGCGAAGTTGGGTGCCCCCGTACAGCAATAGCTGTGGGAGCTTCAGGTATCATGCAGAACTGTTGAGTATAGAAAAGCAAATGTTAAATGGATAAAATTCTCCGTGTGTCATCAGCATGCAGGCACACACACGCATATGTAAATTAATATCAGATCTGGAGATGTAAATTCAGCTGGTGGTTGGTGTCCTCTGTGCTGTGAATGTTCCGACAGCGCATACCAACCCGTAGAAGTAATAACCAGAATGTCAGGAAAAAAATGGTAACATGGTCATTGCCTAAATTCTCAGTTTAAGCCGATGAAGCAAAGGCTGAGGCTTGGAAATGGAATTTTGGAAGATGTTTCATGGACACACGACTGTCTGATTGAACCACACCTCAAAAGCCCACTGCTCATCAAGGTAAAGTTTTACAGGGATTTCTACAGAGAAAATGGGTGTTTCAGTCTTAATCCTGAACTTGCACGATTCCTGTAATTTCCATAAAGCGTGCAATCTCAAGGATTGGATGTGATCTGTCAGGGCAGATAATATGCAGATACCTGCTGCAGGAAACAGATGGATGCCAGCCGCCTCTCTTTCTAAAGGATAATCCCTATCATTGAGTGGAGCACATTAACATGCTTTCACTTCATCCGACCAAAAAGCTCCCTATCAGCGTGTACTTACACAGAGGAGAAAGTTCAGTTGAGAGAGTGCCCTCTGGATTTGCCTGCCAGCATCTTCCAAATATTTGCAGTTCTGTCATCCTTGGATTTGCAGACTGAGCAGCGCTGAGCACTTTAGCTTAGACCAGCAAGCTACGCTTTGCTTGAGCATCAGTCAAAGCAACTCAATTGACTTTAAGATGTTGGTGATGTGTTTCTCTGTGCACAGACTAGAGCTCAACAGACAGGCTGAAACCTAAGCAAGCAGAACATTAGTTTTAGAGATACAGGTCCATCATATCCAGGAATCCCTTCAATGCTCATTTCTCCCCTTTCCCTGTGTCTTACATTCTAGAGAGGTTGCAGAGGACAGTTAAAGAAGCTATTTCAGTTCTCCAGCAGCCCCTTGGAAGCCTACCTTTGTAAGGATGATTATAAAAATAGCTTCACATAAACACTGAAGAGTGCTTACAAGCAGAAAGTCAGTTTATGTTTAAATGATACCATCTCACCAAGCTGCGCTGCGATGGGCATCATTGTTGCACAGCAAGTACCTGACCTCAGTTCATAAAGTAAGTATTTGTAGCAAGCATCTTTGAAATCTCATGGTTATTTTTTTTTCTTTTCAGCTAAATACATGGAAGGCTCTGTGAATCTGACATTTCATTCTAGGCGTTAAACATTTTGAGGAGACTTCAAGATTTAACTGAAAGTTATTAAGCCGGTGCCTTTTATCCTGAGTGTCTCTATGTCAGCTACAAAATAAATTGTGGTTTTGAAAGTTCGTGGCAAAAAATAATCCTAAAAATGTACTGAGTTTTATGATAAATTTATATTGGTGACATGTTGCAATCTTTCTCCTACTCACACCGACTTAAGGGAGATAAGCCTACCGAAATCGATGGCTTTATTGTTATTATTACGGTTATCTGCATAGTTTAGATTTGGTACAACATATCCTCCAATATTGTTTTGCAAATTAAAGCCTAATCCTATTCCTTTGAAGCTGGTTAGCAGAAGCCTACTGGTTTCAATGGGAGGACAATTCCTTCTTGTGAATAAGGAAAAGCATTTACATAAAATAACAATGTCAGAAATGAAGAATTCCCTAGTGGTGTCTGCAAACTCGGAGAGCTGAAATTCTCACCAAATGTTTATTTCAGAAACAATGAAACACTGCATTTTTTACAGTGACATGAACAACTAGAATGATACAAATTACCTAAAAAAGCCATTATTTAAGATTTTCTACATCCAGTCTGACATTGCCTTGCTTATCTTCTCTGATTTTTACTTCTTGGCATTCTTATACATGTTGTGAAGGACACTGGTTAAATATTTGCTCTAGTGATTCTTATTCCCGTAGTGACAAGTATAATGCTGATTGCAAAGCTGACAATATGCTGAAAATGAAATATTTCCACATATTAGTGATACGCTTTCTCTATTTGTCATTATTTTCCATTCCCATTGCTCTTGCATATGAGCACAGAAAGCTTCTTATGCCCAGTTTTTATTCATACATTTAATTTGCTTAATGCCCTCTGGCTTCACATTTAAGAGCGTGGAAATTTGAAAGGAACAGTATTATTTCTAATGCTGCATAGTACCTGTGCTTATTCCATTATAAAATTGGTATTTTTCATTTTGGAGCTTCTGGTATTTCATTATGCCTTGTATCTGTCCAATCGCAATATATAGCAATGATTCATGACATATTTCCTTACGGAACTGGTGGTGTACGCTTCCAAGCAGTTAAAAGAGAATACTCTCGGGAATATTAACAACGCTTGTGAACATAGCATAATGAAACCTATTTTCGTCACTGGGATTGCTTTTCAGCTGTTCGAGAGCTGTAAGGGACCTGGGTGCAGGCTCTACCGCGTTCACCCCAAGAGAGCTTCCAGGCAGCGAGAGACAAACCTAGCTGGAGACTGTCCCCTGCTGCCTCTGGGTGGACGGAGCTGTTCCTGAGCTGCTCATGGAGCCAGGGTGCAGTCAGCTGGCTCAGGTCCTGCTGCAGGACGTGGGCTGTTCCAAGCTGGGCTGGGAGCATGGGCTTGCACCAGGCGTGCAAAACCACCAGGCGCTTGTTACAGTCATCTGGACAGACTGCTACAGCCTTAGCACTCAGTGAGATCAAGTCAGATTTAACCTGTTTAAGTGAAGTTGGGTTGAGGTGAACACGTGCCAGGACAATTCTTCACTTCTGCCAGAAGACAAGGGCACCATTCTGTTGCCAGCCCTCCTAGCTCCCTCCTCCTTCTTGGTGCTGCTCCATCCCTAGCCCATTCCCCTGCCAATCCCTCCTTGCAGCAGTGCTGCCCTCTGTTCCTTCGTGCAGAGGTTTCGTGGGGCAATTCCCCGGTTCAAGAAGTGCTACGTAAGTGGGTTTCAAACTGGGGGTGCAGAAGGCAGCCGGTGCAGGAGCAGACCTCCCTCTCTCTCAGGCACTGCTCTATCCTGTGCCAGCTGGCAGGAATGCAGTAGCACTTCAGAGCACTAAAATAAAATGAAAAATATGAAAGCTACTGATGTAGTTTTATTTCTAACAAAGAGAAGGCCACAGACGTGTCATCCTTTCCACTACTAAAGCAAAGGGAGAGACTACAGGAGGACACAGCTCTCTCTTTTTGTACAGTAACAGAGAATGAGGCTTCCCTTCCCTTTCTGCTTCGCTAGCCAGTAGGTGATGCAGTCTGTGAGATGCTACATTTCAAGCTCCAGGGCTTAAGCCAATATCTGGCTCTCAACAATCAAGAAACCTAGTGTGGGAGGCATTACTTCCCTCTGGCCACTACAGGATTCTTCCTTCCTTCCTCAAAATGTGCAGCGTGGTGCTGACTCCTGTCAGGAACAGGATATTGCAGCAGGCAGACTTGCCTTGAGCCAGTCAGGCTCATCTGCTGATCATAAAATGTAGGTGCAGAGACAGCAATTACCAAGAAACTTGTGTTTTCAAGTTATCAAGTCATAAGGGCTAAGGCTGCATGCGGCCTCAGGAAAGTACGTTCCTGGTCATCACCAGCCCAGTGAGCTAGAGGAGCCCAGCAAGTCCTCACCAAAGCCAGTGTCTGGATATCATCCCATCACCTTGACACTCCTGGGTTAGTTTCCTCTGACAAACCTAAATGTTATGCCTCAACATCACTGCAACCACGAGGCCTAGCCTGGGATTTCATAGGGTCTCCATGTTAGCTTTATGGCTCAACCCCTGATGTAACCTGCACCTAAAGGACAGCCAGAGGGGAGGAGACAGGACCAGGGGGCTCATGTCAAGGCCTTTGAGTCCGCCCAGCAAACGGGACACACTGGAAAACACCAAAATGATCACACTGCACACAAATTCCCCACTCCTCCAACAGAGGCCATCCACCTTCACGGCCACGGGCTTGAGGGCTGCTGTTCTGAAGGAAACATCTGACTCATCCCAACCTTGGCACCGCTTTATACGCCTGCGTTGGTTTAAGTTTTCAAGGACTCTTTGCAGAAGAAACCACCGGCTTACTCCAAATTGACAAAAAGTGTAAAAATGACACTTTTATTTGCATTTCAAGGTTCCCGAAAGTGGAGGTGAGGGCCCCGCCAGCTCTCACCCTTGGCACTGCGCTGCCTGGACGTGAAGTGGAGCAGGGCTTGGACCCAGGCAGGTTTTTTGCAGGAGAACAGCTTCGGGAGCGGGCTGGCAGCGCCCGTCCCTGCCAAAGCCAGGCAGGGGCTGGGTGTGCCCGTGTTTTGTCGGCGAGCTCCATGACATGGAAATGGAAACCCTACAGGAAGCCCTCGCCCGTTGGGCTACCGGGGAAAACTAAAAGTCCTGGAAAAAAAAATAAAAAAAAAGAAAAAGAGAACCATCAAATCACACTTTCCAGACCTAAATTGGGTCCAGCTTCCCCCAGGCACCCTGCCGCAGGTGCCCGCGCCCCACAGCGGGGCCGCTGCCCCCCTCCTGGGGGCTTCGCCCTGCGGGCCGAGGCCTCGCCGAGGAGCTCGGGGGGCGATGGGGCTGAAGCGAGCCGGGCTACGCCGAGCCGAGCCGGGGCGGAGGGGCCGCCCCCGGGGCCGGCAGGGAAAGGGGAGGGGAGCTCGGGGCGCCCCCGCCTCCCGGCCCGCCCCGCCGCGCCCCATGGTGCCGGCGCGGGGCTGAGGCAGAGGCTGCGGGGCCGGCGGGGCGCTCAGAGCCGCGCCCGCCGCCGCCGGGCATGGAGGGTGCCGAGGCGGCCGCCCCCGGCAGCAGCAGCCCCGCACAGCCCCGCTGCTCCTCCTGCGGCTCCGGGCCCGGAGGGGGCGAGGCTGCGGCTGGGCTGGGCTGGGGCTGGGGCTGGGGCTGCAGCGGCCATGGAGGAGCCGCTGGTGGGGGAGGCTCCGGCTCCGTCGCCGGGGCCGAGGAAGCAGCAGGGGGTGAAGCGGCATCACCACAAGCACAACCTGAAGCATCGCTACGAGCTGCAGGAGACCTTGGGCAAAGGCACCTACGGCAAAGTCAAGCGGGCCATCGAGCGGTTTTCGGGCAGAGTGGTAAGGAAGGGGGACGGGGGGGTGTTTTTTGGGGGTCCCCGTGGGGACGGGGCTTCGCCCGCGGGGCAGAAGCTGCCGCATTTTGGGTGCCGGGGTGGTGCTGGAGTAAGGCATCAGGGCATTTAAACTGATGTGTTGTTATTGGAAAAAAAATCAGGGTGGCTTGCTGCTCGTGTTTGGCTCTTACACGCGTCCCTCCCGTGCACGGTGATTCCTTTCCCAAGTGGAAATCCACGAAACCTGTCACGCTCCCGGCTGGCCGGAGCAGCTCACAGTCCTGTCAGGATGGCAAGCATCGGCCAGAGCCGCCCTCATGCAGTCCTGCTGTAGTGACCCAAACTTTGCTGACACCTAAAAAAACCACCACGGGGACTGCAACCCCAGCCCCGTTGGTTTTTACGACCCGTCTCACTGCTGGGTTGTGCCGGCTGGCTCGAGGCTTGAAGCTGTCCTGCAGTAACTCAGCTGCAGCGTTTCCTAGCACGAAAATGCGATTGAAGAAACGCACACGTTAGCCAGGGTTATTGGCATTTTCCCTCCGCTGAAACATGTAAGCGCCCTCGGAGGACAAGCGAATGGGAGGCAGGCGTCGCGTTAAGGGCTGCCCAGAGAAATAGACGCTTCTCCAAAGAGGTCCTCGCACGGCTTTTCGTATGAAGGAGACTAATTGAGTTTTCACTAGACTTCATCTAAAACCGAGGCATTTCCCTAGTGACATTACAGGTTTTGTCTCATTTGTCTCTCTGTTTCGCTTGTCTGGGAGCTCAACACGCACCCAGAGGCAGAGGCAACTGTAAAACAGCAAAAGGAATTGCAGATGCAGCGGCTTTAATAAGAGACATTTACTTTGCAACCGAATATCTTTGTGTCGACAGTGAAAATGAGGTTTCAGCCAAGCTGTGGAGTCATATCATGTATGCTTTCAGTTTATTAGCTCATTTGGAGGCTGGCTAAAGAGAAACCAGAGATGGACATCTCTGCACATGCTCACTCCAAGTATATGATTTTTAAAGTTTGCTGCCTTGGCTGTTTTACAGCGTCAGGCTAACAAAAGCTCCAGGGCTATATTATTTACCTATTATTCCAGTAAGCAGATAATTTATGAGTTTCATTACGTGATACAGTAAATAAGAGAATACATCCAAAAATCATTTTAAAAGGCTCGATCAATTAAAAAATATTGACTGTATTGTAAATGGGATTTGGTTTTGTGAAGGGTCCTTGCTGAGGAAAGGATGTAGCATGGATGCGTGTCTAAGTAACAGCGCACCTGTGGTCTTCTTGTCCTTTGCTATTCTCAAGCTCTTCAGCTCTATAGCTAAAGGTACTTCAGTGATATGGTCTGAACCTGAATTTATATGGCTAATGCCATCTCGAAATGGAGAGAGTGGAAATCAAAATACCGCTGTGATCTTAGATGCCATAAAAACGTTACACTTGCTCTATCAGCTGGTATGTAGAAGCTAAACAAATCCTCGCAGGGGTGTTAGTTTTATACTACAGTAATATAACCCTTGGCGTGTGGCACTTCATAATTATTAACTAGTCTACAGGCAAGTTGTGGCGCAACGTGTCTGTTTGAACTTTAACATCTGCGAGTGTATGTAAAATATCCACATTTTGTCTGTTTACAGAATAAAAGCTAGTTGTTGGGAATCCAGCCAGACCTAAGGGAGCAGAAAACGCTTCTTGCTTTTCTGACGGTTTTCCTGTCTGGCTGTTGCGCTGAGCACTGGTGGCTCTCTGAGGATGAGACAGAAGCGCTGGCAGGATGACTGCTCAGAGAGGCACAGAGCTTCCCTTCGTTTTTTTCCTCTCCTTTTCTTCCCATTCCTCTCCTGTGATCTTATTAGTGGGCAGCACGAGCGAGCAGGTTGGCCTGGCTGTGGCCATGTGTCCAGCAGGGGATGCAGGAGAGAGCGCTGCAGCCAACACCGCTCCCAGCACCGCTTCCACTGCAAGCTGTCTGACAACCAGCGGCCAGGTAGCTGCAGTCCCAAGGTCGCTGCAGTCCAGCCTGTTGGCTTCCTGTCCTGCTACTGGTTTAGGTAACCATCTTTTCTTTTCTAAGCAGCTATTGGGAGCTGTATGGTAGCAGATCGCAAAGCTGGACCGTGGAAGCGGCGCTGCGTTCCCAGTCATCAGCCCTCTCCATCCCTCTCCTGCTCGGTCTTTCCACTTTCCTCGTCTGTTAACATCTCTTTTGCTCTATGGTGTTTCGTAAAGATATTTGCATGATTAGCTGGGCTCTTAATGTGAAACACGAACACTGGGTTTGTTGTCATCCATATGGCAACAATAAACAGCTCATGAGGGAAATAGAAATTGGCAAATGTGAGTTAATGAAGTAAAGCCAAGGTGCGAAGACAGTTCAGTCCGAGGTACGTGTGTGCTCTCCTCTTGTGCCGTTGCAGGATTGCTGTTGGCTAGAATGGAAGTAGTATTTGTTACTTATTAACAGGCTTACAGGTTCATTCAAATTGGTGTAGTTTCTTTGTCTTTCCTCTTAGCTCAGTGAAACGTGATCGTAAAGTTTCCTGCCATAAAGCTCCAGGGTAGCTTGCACGATATGTATGTCGTTTGTTATTGGAAACAACTTAGGTGCATTTGTGTACTAGTTACCAGAGTGACTGCAGACAGTGCTGCGTGCTGCACGAAGCCGTTAAAATAATGCCCACCGCATGACGTACGAGGTGCCTAATTTCGCCAGCAAGATTTCCTTCATTAGTACTGGCTCAGTATGCACCGTGTAACTTATGATATTTTAAATTAAGGCACCTGTTGGTGAGTGTAGGGATGAAGAGAAGATATTTCAGGCCTGTGAAGTGACACTCACGTTGACATTTCTGTGGGTGTTTTCTCCACTTGTCATCTTGCACATGTTAAAGCAAAGAACTGAGCTTTTGTTCATGGTGTGTATTCGGGCTTTGCTAGCCAAGAAATCCCCAGCTACACTTATGTCAGCATTAGATAAGCTGTGCATCGACCACCTCCGGCCGATCCCGTGCGTGGTGTGCAAAGGACGACACTGCTGGGCTCCTCAGGTGGCCGAAAGGTTTGGCTGGAGCAAGTTCTTCTTGCAGGATGATTTTCCCCATTGCAAGATCTATGAGCTTTTCTCCCTCTCTTTCCTTAGGCTGCACGAGGGAGGCAATGGGGAGCAGCTGCAGGGGCCTCCTCTCTCCCTTCTGAGCCAGGGCATCTTTTCTTCCTCCTCACCAGCAGGTGGAGGAAGCACTATTCTTCTCCAGCCGCTCCTGCAGAAAGTTAATTATTTTGGGAATTGATGACAAGCTGCAGCCCGACATGAAAAGCAGGCGTGCGGCGCATATTTGTGCGGGCGTGTTACGGTTTGTGGTGCATGCTGTTTCTCTCTGCTGCGCAGAAGTGCAGGTGGAAGGATGTTGCCAAATTATGTTGGTTTCCGAATTAAAATCCAGTAAGAAAAACAAACTTTAGATCTAAACAGAAATATTTTCAGTTGCGACTCCAGTGAACATCTTTGCTTTGAAACAGCTCTGCTTCACGGTGATTTCGGAGAGTTGTGCAGGGCTTGGAAACCAAGTGAGAGAAGCAGATTACATGAAAGCAGGACCTGTGCTTCGCTGCCTTTATTTCTGTGTGTTACTACAACAGCAAAACATGAGCACCAGCAATGACAGCTCTGTCATGTCAGGAATTAACGCTTTGTCTGCTGCTCAGCTGCTTGCTTGTTGGGGTGTGCTTGTGAGTCGTCAGAGATGGTGGAGCACTTGTCCCAATTCCCTTCCCTGTTTTGCTGATGCTGTGAGGAGGATGGTGGCTGTCCACTGCCTTCAAGTACCTATCATGAACTGAACTCTTCTAGTCAATAAAAATCCATGTTAAAATCACGTTCATGTTGCAAAGACAAACTCCCCACAAATAGAAAATGTTGGTATTCCTCTCTTCCCTCTTAGGTATGTGAATTATCTCACCAGCTTTAATGACATGTTATACTTCCATTTTTTTCCTGAGAACTGCTTCTTTGGCACCTGGGTCACTACTCGATACAGATTTTTATCTTGATCCTTCAGTGTGCATCCTCTGCAGAACGATGTCCAAATCTGAGGCTGTTTATTTTTATTTATTTGGGATTCTTTGTTGTTCTTATTAGGATGTCTTCCTTTATTGCAGACACTGGTGGAAGTATCTACACAGCACTGCTGTGATGTGAAGTGCTCGTACAGTACTTTGCACAGCAGGATCCTGGTTCGTGAACATGGCTTCTACAGCTATGATAATACACTTGAATAATAGTAACAATGGCTCGTATCATTACCCCGTTTTATACGTGAGAAAGAAAAACTTACAGATTAAAGCCAAAACCATCATAAGTATCGGCTCGTTTTGAGTGCACAACCTAACACCTGATTTTTTTCCAGCCACGTAGTGTGTGTAACATCAGGGTCCTACAGATGACAGCCTCCTCCTGCAGAGCTCCGTCACTCTCTCCTTCTGGGCTCTCCCTACCCAGGGCTTTTGTCCTGGTATGACATTCGGCATCAGTCTCCACTCCCGACCCCTTTGCACTCTGCTTGTGCTCCTGCCTCTTGCTTTGTTCTGCGTGCCAGTGCTGTGACCCGCACCGAAAGCGCGGCCATGCTCATGGTGCCGGAGCTGGGAGCTGCCAGTGGGATCTGTGCACCTCTGCAGCCACGTGGGGCCAGGCGCTGCCCAGTGGGGGCCTTGCAAAATCTAGTGCCAAAACCCATCTGTTGCACGTCTTGAAAGGAGAAAACCGTGCTTTTTAGGGACTCGTAATGTGACCAAATCTGGACACGTTTTCATGGTGCTGAAGGCATGTTAGTGAATCCTGGGTTGTCCTTCATAATTTTTTTCATAATAAAAAGAAAAAAAAGTCATGGAAATTCTAGATCTGGAATGTTTGAAACAGTATTTGGGCTTGCACATGGCTTTGTTGTTAATCTATTTGTTACCACCCCTAATTATTTGTGAAAATGATTATAAAGGGAAGAAAA